AAGATCACGGCCATTATGCAAAGACCAGAAGGCCTGCAAGAGACATCTCCCGGCCCTGGCTGGCCCCCTCTTGGCTCTCTTTGGCTCTAGGCGATGGATTGGAATTGGTCTGAGCCCCTCACAGCTGCTTGTCCCCTTTGTCAGTGCCTTGTTTCCCAGATTCTCTTGGGTCTGGTTGGCATTGTGGCACCAGAAACGAGGCTTGAGTTGAAGTAGGCGGTCAGTTTGTAAGAAATACTTTGCTCTCCTGAAAAAGAAGACTATATTCATTGGCTTCCCCTGTTCCTTTCTTGTCTTGAAAACAACACGATGCTTCAAGCTGCAGCAGTCATCCTGAGGCCGTAAGGCCACTGACCTGAGGACAGAAGTGGAAGTGCTTGGAATTCCAGAGGGGAAGGCGGGGAGAGCCTCCATCCCGGCCGGCACTGCTGAGCCATGACTTCAGCCATACAGCACCCACACCCTCCCTCCTCAGCGTGTGAGAACAAGAAGCTTCTATTTGTCTAAGCAACTGTTGGCTGGGTTTCTGATACCTGCAGCCCAAAGCATTCCAGTCTAATAGAGGATTTAGTACATTTTATGTTGAAGGTCCTGGAAAATCTAGGCAGAAGGGGTAAAAAAATGCACAAAGTCCTTTGTCCTCTAAGGTCTATAGTCCGGGGACATGTAGTGTGGGACAGCTGACACTCATTTGTGTCCTTATACCCTGGCAGACAGACCTCCTTGCCTTTCTAGGAGCTTAACAGCTTTAGCCTCCAGGAACCGAGGGAGGTGAATGAGACTTCTCACATCTGCTCAGGTTCCCGACACCTCTCTGGGTCCCCATTCTGTCCTTTCACCAAGTTAAGCTGTAAGAATGCAGCACCCACAGACAGTGCCTCTCCAGCCTGTGTGCTGTGCAGCGTCCAGGCATCTTCTCAAAATGCAGATTCTGATCCAATCGGTCCACACTTGGGCCTGAGTGTCTGCTTTTCTAGCAGGCTCCACGTGGTGCTGACACTGCTGGCCTGGGGACCACACTGCATAGCGAGGTTGTGGAGAGTGGCCAGCTGCTTCTAGGACCGCCCCACTGTGGTCGGTACTGCCCGTCTACCCTTGGAAGCAAAGTCCAGTTGAGTATTCTGTACCCCAGCTCACTTAACTGGAAGGCCCATGTCCTGATTTTTAAAAATTGTGCCCTTCTGCAGCCTGATGAGGCTTCTCAATTGTGGATTCAAAATCAACTCCCTGGGTTTTGCACAGATTCAGAGTGACCAAGTGTCCTAGTTTGCACAGGATGAAGGGCTCCTGGGGATGTGGGACTTTCAGTACTAAAACCAGGAAAGCCCCCTGCAAGCCGAGAAGAGTTGACCATCCCACATAAGCCGAAGGCTGTGCGATTAGAGGGGAGGCAAGAGGACTCAGGAATGCCTTGGAACCCAACAGGGTGAGCACCAGGGCTCAGCCAGGGCTGAGTGCGCACCAGGGGAGTATGGGCATTAGCCACAGTGCTCCATGCCAGAGAAGTGTGCAGGCCTCCCCTTGGGGATTTTCTCTGTCATCCTAGAGCTGGGTCTGGCGTCTTGGCTTGTGAGGAACAGAAACAGCTAGCTCCCCCCCGACTCTGGCCTTGCTGTCACCATGTGGGGCTAGAGAAGGCCACGCTGTCACGGCCCCTCATGAAGCAGTGAAGACTTGGGCTGGGACAGAATGAGGTCATGGGTCCTGGGCACCTCCTGGGTTTGCTGGAGCTTCCCCCGCCTTCCACCAGCCCTGGGCGGTTAATGACTCGCTCAGCTCCTTAATGAAAAAAATATGTGCTGGCTCCCAGCTGAATGCCCTTAATTTGTCTCATTTGTGCCTGAAGCACAGGGTGTGGGTAAACCGACGTTAAGCAAAAAGGCTATTACCATGATGCGATGGCCCTCTGGCAACGTCTCTTCTAAAGCCTTGTCCTCTGCCTAACAAGGAAGGCTGCCAAGGAGGGCAGTGCTAACTTGGAGATTCCAAGCCGTGGCCCACCTCTGCCTGTAGACTGGTTTTATTCTGTGGTCCTTAGAGTGGTTTTGTTTTTTGTTTTGTGATCTTAAGAAGTGGCTGACATTTAAAGATGGGAAGATTTCAAATAAAAATGTATATTTCTAATCTCTCTTGAAAAATCCGGCAACACTGAGTCCACCTACTGACACAGGAACAATTAGCTGAGGACAAGGACAGCTGC